CACTTGGCATGCATACCCAAGTGAGCTTGTATAACTCTTGTTTATCACCAAGCTAGAATCCTAAATCAAAAGCTCAACCTTAGAATTCGATTTCTAGTTCACAAATTCTGGGAAATACAGAGGAACTCAAGCATTCAAGCATAGAAGACAAGCATGCAACAAAGGCATCAACATCAACTCATGAAAATGCTTTAGAAAAATGGAGGTAGAGAGCACTAGAATGGGCGGATGATCCTCAATTTTGGATTTGTTATAAACAACATAATTTCAAGAAAATTTTGTGAAGCAAGCACGATCATATGAGTATCATAAGTTAAAGACACATGCAGAAGAAAAATCTGCAAAAACTCACCAGCCATGGATGAATTCAGAAGTTGCAAACCAGCTTTGAGGTATCAGAAAAATTCAAAAAATTCTGCAAATTTTACTGGCTATAGTACTCGAGCAGATGAACAACTTTGATCAAGGAAGTTTTCTGATCCGAGCTTCCGAAATATGACTTATGTACTGATGCACAATACCCACGGGTTTGGGTCCTGAAGAAGAAGAAAGAAGAGAATGAGAGAAAATCATAAAATAAAGCATGCCATGCCAAATGAAAGGAAAAGAGGGTAGACACTTGCAAATAATAAAATAGAGCAAGATTAAAGTAAGAAGAGGAACAGGTAGAAACCCATACCAACAGTTTTGTTCACACGGAAATTGGCACCCTTCCAGCAACTCGAGCAAATCAAAGAAAAGGGTTTCCCAGAAGATTAGTGCGAGCCCTTCCTTGCTAGCACCCACGTTGTAAGCACTCACGTTGCTGCAATAACAAAATAGGTCAAAAGAGGGTTTGATGCTTGACAATCAAAACAAAGGGCAATATTCATGGATGAAGGGAACCCAGCAAATTCCTCAATAAATCCAAGAGAAAGCTAGAGAAGGGACATACCTTGCTAAAATCCCAACGGGTGACTTTGAATATACCAAGAAGGGAGCGAAATTGAGAATCATAGAGGAAAACCCGCACAAAAAGGTCCCTTCTAGCAACGGCAGAAGGGCTTCTTCGAAGGGAGAAGGGCTGAAGGGGTTGAAATCGACTTGGGCTCTTTTCCCAGCGGTTGGAGGCAGATGTTTTCCACTTGATCTTACTCTCTCACTCAGTTTTGAGCTGGGGGAACAAGGGAAAACGAAGAGAAGAAAAGTAGGAAGAAGTTGGATCTGGTGCAAGAAAAGGGAAGAGAAAGAAAGAAAATAATAAAAAAGAAAGGAAGAAGGCGTTTGGCATTGGGAAACTGCAAATAACCGCTGGGGCCAATTATGACACGTCGTCATTTTGCACGCGGGAAGAAGAGAAGTTCTCTACAAATACAAA